AGCAGCAGCGGCGGCGCGTGAGCGGCGTGTCGGCGCGTGCGGCGGTGCGTGGATTCGTCGGGGCAGCAGCTCCTCTCCAATTAGGTTTCACCTCGTATATTTTGACCCACTCGAACTACAGCACTAGATGTAAACGAGTTAGATAACAACACGAATAAAACGAGGGAGAAAGAAGAGAAAACCGGCGGTGTTTCCGGCGGTGGTCGGCGGTGGCGCGCCGGGGCAGCAACGGCCGAAGAGGGGGCGGCTAGGGCTTGAGCGGCTAGGGTTTTGTGCTGAAAAATCTGATCTCAAAACTCCTTTTGAGGTCTATTTATACTTAGGGTTTTCAACCCTAGTGGGCTTAAGTCATTGGGCTTGACCCACTGATGCATTAAGCACATTCCCTCGTCGGCCTCGTTTCTCATAAACGATCGTCCACAAAATTATAACAAAGTTATATTTGTGACGAGCTCAAAGTCCTCGTCGATACGAGTGCCTCTTCAAAATTTCCAATTTCCAAAATTGGAAACTTCCATTTCAGTGGACTTGCTAAATCGGGAAACTTCCCAATTTAGAAAGTTCACCAAATTCCGCATTTCTCTTTCTTCACGTTTATTCCAATTCGCAATTCACAATTACGAATCTTGGATTCAATCATATCGACATCCAATCGTTCAAAGATTAACACATTAATCTATGCTTGTTGTTATCAAGGATCTTATTACACGAGAAGTGTGACCCTCAATGGTTCAGGTGTATGCTAGCCGTGGGCTCACAACTCTTTGTGATTCGAACAACACATTGTTCTTATACGAACTCCTCCCAAGAGTCCCGATTAGAGTAAAACTCATTTTACCTAATCCCGATCAAATCGGTGCCCAATGAATCAAGATTGGCGTCTAGCAACTACGCATCATGATTCCCTAGATACAAATGAAGTGCCTGCAAGAACCTTATGATATAGTTAGCGTACAGTACGATCCCTTCGTAGCACATGTCCCGATTGAACTAGAGGCATTGGTTCACCGAGACCTCTTATAAAGTTCAATAACCGTGCGAACGTTCTAGGTATTATAAATCCGTTCGTGTGCAACTTAGGGAAACACATTTCCCTAATCACCCCACTATCAACTCTGGCCAGAGATTCCATGGATTATAAACCGTCAGAACACACAGGACATCCATGACTACTCAAGCGCTCGAATCCCCTACTACAATGCACAGACTTCACACTAGATTTCGGATTGCACGAACGTTGGCCCTTGGAGCGGTCCGCGGTGGGACTCAGGGACAGGTCACGATACAATCGGTCCTCTAGTGAAGTCACGGTGATGTCTGGGTCTTAAGGACTAATGGTGTACAACTATATCTTAGAAACCTATTACTCGATGAATGAGAACCACTTATAGATTTCTAGGGCGAGGGAGTTCAGTGAACTCATCCAGTATGAGTACCCAATCAAGTATGCCGATGTCACAACACCGAGGACTGATGAGACGCAGTACACATACACTAAGTGCTAGTCTCAAAAGGGAAAGGCCGGTATTCTCATTATTGGCGTATCCCATCGACTAGGAACAAGGTTTAACAGTTACATTACATTGCTGAGTTATCTCACGATTCTACTAGACCAACTCACAGTAATAGAGTAACTCGTTAGGACTATATCTATGCTGCTTGCATGGGATAAGAGATATAGAATGCCAAATGAAATATTTTATTATTACGAACGAAAAACGATTGTTTTATTACAAGATAAAAGGAAAGACCACAGCCACAAGTTGGCTTGTTGGTCACCTACTCCAACAATCTCCCACTTGACCTAAAGCCAACTACTCATAAATCTAAGTCCCATCGACTCTCGATGTTTCTCGTGGACTGATCCTGACAATGGCTTTGTGAAGGGATCTGCAATATTGTCCTCCGAGGTGACTTTGTCTAGCTTGACTGCACCTCTCTCAATGATCTCTCGGATCACATGGTATTTTCTCAACACGTGCTTCGACTTCTGATGAGCTCTTGGTTCCTTAGCTTGCGCTACGGCTCCGTTGTTATCGCAGTACAGCTGTACTGGATCGCTAGCGTTCGGAAATACACCCAACTCTTGGATGAATTTCCTAATCCATGACCCTTCCTTTGAAGCATCTGATGCCTTCGAGTCATCCACGTCCGATTGAAAACTAGAATCCGTGAAGCCTTCTAATTTCAACTCGGTATCCCCATTGACCAAAAACAAATCTCGAGTTCTTCGCAAGTACTTGAGAATGTCCTTCACAGCCTTCCAATGGGCTGGGCCGGGGTCGGACTGATATCTGCTTGTGACGCTCACAGCATACGCAATATCAGGTCGGGTACATAGCATGCCATACATTATGCTTCCTATAGCAGATGCATAAGGTGTCCTTTTCATCTCCTCGATTTCCATTTGCGTTTGAGGACGCATGGATTTCGAGAGACGAACCCCATGGGACATTGGCAAGAATCCTGTTAAGTGTATATTTATACACTTAATTGTACCTTTTAATTGGAGCTTTTGATGTGTTTTTACGATAATTGGTGCTTAATATGGCTATTATTTGTATTTTAGGTGCAAATTGAAGAATTGGCAACTTTTGGGGTGAAAACTGCAAATTCAGAGAAAAAGTGGGCCAAAAATGAAAAAATCAGATTTCTGCAGAATTAAAGCCCGCGCGGCCGTGCGGATTTTAAAGCATAATCTCGCACGGCCGTCCGGATGGACGTGGGGGCGCAGTGAAGGAAGTTTAATTACACAAGGAAACCCGCCCTATTATATTTTTGCACCCTATTTAAAGGCCACAAACACACAATTAGGAGAACCTTTGAATCTTTTACCTTTTATCTTTATTATTACTTTTTAGTTTTTATCTTTGCTACACGCAATCAAGGAGCAAGAGAACGAAGACGAAGACTTGACGACTCTTCATCCTAGTTTTCCTTTTTCCTTTTCTTTTCTGATTTTTTATGAATTTTCGTATTTTTATTATGTTTTTCGTTACGAACATGAGTAGCTAAGTTTTTATTCTAGGATTTTATTGGAACCCTATATGGTAATTCGAACCTATTTTTCTACTTTTATGCAAGTTTAATTTTTCGATTATTTCCTCTATCTTGATCGTATTTAGTGCATGAGCGTAGCTAACTTATGTTGCTATTTGTTATTGTTAGAATTGATTGACAGATCGTTTTAATAATTAGAACAGGGATAGGAGAGCCTTCGAGTAGTTTTTCACCGAATGTGTGTGTTAATTGCATGTATTATCGTAGACATACAGATAATACCTTAGGTAGCCGTTTACGAGACTTGCTATTTAATGCTTTATTTATACTAGGTTTGCATAGACATATAGTGAATCTTTTATGAATAATAGGTTTATAGCACGGCGACAGCTGGTTATGAATAATTTCGTGTCTTGGGTTAATAATCGAGAATCGTAACTTGCATGATAGGAGATTAATCGGGTGAAGAATTATCGCATAGGGGGGAGATAAAATCCTAGATCCGTTTATTATTGATATTTTCTCGTGATTACTTGCTTTCTTAATTAGTTTAATTTATTTAATTAATTAAATTGACAACCCTGCGTAGGCTGGATAAAAATCACAATTGTTAGGATTTGGTACTTAGGATTAAATAATTTGCGTATTCCCTGTGGGATCGACATCCGACTCTCACGAGTCTACTTAACTACTTGTTTGTGATACGTACACTTGCGTGTTGGTATTTAGCACCCAACAAGTTTTTGGCGCCGTTGCCGGGGAATACGGCTAAATTATTTATTTATCCTAATATTAAATTTGAGCAATTTTTCTTACTTCAGCCAATTTTTTTTTTATTTTATTTAATTATTATTATTTTTTTATTTTTTTTATTTTGTTTTAGGTACTTTTTATGCGAAGAGGACACGACACGAGCTTGCTACCTCTTGATCCCGAAATTGAGCGAACGTTTAGGCAAGCCAGGAGAAATCAACGGTTAGCTCAAAACACTCCCGCAACGATGGAAGACGAGAATAATCGTGGGGGAGGTGTCCAAGGGCGCCTACCAAATGCGGCAGGGGAAGTCGTTATCGAGCAAGAGCAACGCCAGCTAATCAATCCACCGCCTCGCCAAGAGCCTTGCACGAGTACACCGTTCCGACACTCAATGGGTTCCAATCAAGCATCCAGCAGCCCCCCATTGAAGCCAACAATTTCGAGATTCGAGCGGGACTCCTCACGATGCTCCAAAACAATGGGTCCAACTTGCTCAACTTTTCATGAACACATACAACTCACCAACAAAAACTGAGAGAATCCGGCGAGAAATTCAAAACTTCATACAAGAAGCCGGTGAAGCATTATTCGAGACGTGGGAGCGGTTCAAACAGTTAGTGAGGAGGTGCCCGAATCACGGACTACAAGAGTGGCGCCAACTGCAAATATTTTACGATGGACTGCAAGACAACTCGAGGACAGTGCTCGACTCTGCAGCTGGAGGTATGTTCATGAGTTTAACCTATGACGAAGCATACGAGCTCTTGGAACGAATCGCCAGAAATAAATACATGCGAGCATCGGACCGGTCGAATAGCGGAGCAGTCAAGACGGGAGGAATTTTGGAGTTAGACGGAGTCACTGCAATCACGGCCCAATTGGAGAAGCTATCGAAGCAAGTAGCGGCTTTGCAGACGCAGCAAGTCCATGCAGTCCAAGCTCCCGATCAAGGCGTAGACGAAACGGAGTCGATAAATTATGTGCATGACGCCAACCGACAACAGAGAAACCCGTACTCCAACACGTATAATCCGGGATGGAAGGATCACCCTAATTTTGGGTGGGGAGGAAATCAGCAGGGACAAAGGCAAGCACCCCCTCAAGGCCAACCGCCTAATTATTCACGACCAGCGCCCGGATTCCAAAATCAGCCGCAAGCACCACCTCAAGGCGGAGACCTCGCAAATATTTTGGCCCAATTTATGACGACCACCCAAGCTTCCATTCGAAATTTGGAAACACAGATGGGCCAATTTGCGACCCAATTGAACGCGAGGCCAGCCGGTACACTACCGTCCAATACGGAAGACCCTCGAAAGGGCACCAACGAGCAGTGCAAAGCCGTAAGTTTGAGGAATGGAAGACAATTAGAAGAAGTGGCGAAGAAGGCAACAAGCAAGGATGGGGAGGAGCAACAAGAAAAAGAAGCGGAGATTCTGACAGATTCACCAGGTGAAAAAAGGGTCGTTGCGCCTAAGCCGACCCCTCAGGTACCTTATCCTGAACGCCAGATAAAGGCGAAAAATGAGTCGTATTACAAAAGTTTTCTTGAGCAATTGAATGAATTACATATTAATATTCCTTTTACTCGAGCACTTGAACTAATGCCTCATTGGGTGAAATTTTTTAAAGACATGGTATCAAAGAAACGAAAATTCGGTGAACATGAGATGATAGCGTTAACCGAATAATGCAGTGCCATTCTTACGCGCCCAATTCCACCAAAGCTTGGAGACCTGGGTAAGTTTACGATTCCAGTCGCTATCGGAGGTAAGTTCTTTGCAAAATCTCTCATAGATTTAGGTGCGAGTATTAATCTCATGCCTTTCTCGGTTTTTCAAAGTTTGGGATTAGGAGATATAAAATTGGTATCTGTGACGTTACAGTTAGCCGATAGATCACTCATATACCCAAAGGGAATAGTAGAGGATGTGTTAGTTAAAGTATATAAATTCATCTTTCCTGCAGATTTTGTAGTTCTTGATATGGAAGAAGATAAATAAATTCCCTTGATTTTGGGAAGACCATTTTTGAGAACGGGTAGAACTATAATTGATGTGTATAACGGAATTTTATCTATGTCTTTGGGGGATGAAACGATTAAATTTGATGTTTTCCGTACAATGAAACACCCTCAAGAGGTTGATGAATGCTTTGCTTTTGATGTGTTAGATCAATTGAATTTTGATTTTGTTGAACCTTTAATTGCGGATCCGTTGGAAGCATCTTTGTGTGTAGGAACTTCAGTTGAAGAAGAAGAAGTGACGGAACAATTATGTTGGTTGGATTCGGCAAAGCCGCTGTCAAGACCACGCTTTGAGAGTTTGGAGACGGAGATCCCGTTATCTGTCACTTTTAAGCCTTCAGTGATCGAACCTCCGAAACTTGAGCTTAAAGTTTTACCATCTCATTTAAAATATATGTATCTTGGAGCTCATGAGACCTTACCTGTTATTATTTCTTCATCTTTGACAGGTCTACAGGAAAAGAGACTTTTGGAGGTATTGCGAGAGCATAAGCTAGCACTTGGATGGACAATCGCCGACATCAAGGGCATAAGTCCAACTTTTTGCATGCACAAGATCATATTGGAGGAGAGCCATAAATCTTCGGTGGAACAACAGAGGCGATTGAACCCCATCATGAAGGAAGTTGTGAAGAAAGAAATCATCAAGTGGCTAGACGCAGGTATTATTTTTCCTATCTCCGATAGTGCGTGGGTTAGTCCGGTACAATGTGTACCCAAGAAGGGGGGAATGACTGTTATAAAAAACGAAAAAAATGAATTAATCCCTTCTAGGACAGTAACGGGTTGGCGAATTTGCATGGATTATAGAAAATTGAATAAAGCCACTCGAAAAGATCACTTCCCGTTGCCCTTTATTGATCAAATGCTTGATAGGCTAGCTTGTCAAGAATTTTATTGTTTTTTAGATGGGTATTCCGGTTATAACCAAATTGCCATAGCTCCCGAGGACCAAGACAAAACCACTTTTACTTTTCCTTTTGGTACCTTTGCTTTTAGACGTATGCCTTTTGGTTTGTGCAATGCTCGTGCTACTTTTCAACGTTGTATGATGGCAATTTTTACGGACATGGTTGAATGTGGTCTTGAAATTTTTATGGATGATTTTTCTGTCTTCGGTGATACGTATGACACTTGTCTCCAAATACTGGCTAAGGTTCTTCGCAGGTGTGAAGAAACAAACTTGGTGCTCAACTGGGAAAAGTGCCACTTTATGGTTGATCCAGTCCAGGATTACTTGATCGATCCAATAAAGACCAAAGGCCCAAACAAGATCAAAAGGCACCGTTCAAGCCCATTGAACAGAAAAATGCCCATCAAGCCGGTACCGGTTGGGCGAGAGGGACCCGGCCGCGGGGCGAGTCGCCCGCGTGCGAGAGGGTTCCCGCTGGGCTGCACACCTCTCGCCCAATCTCTCGCCAGGCTGTCAGTCTATCGCCAGATGCGCGTCTCTCGCCGGACTGCTTGCCCGACCGGAGGTGATCATTGCTGCACATGGGGTATTTAATGCACGTCCAATCTACTGACAATGGGCAGAGGAATGTCTCTTCGACCCCTACTGTTTGCCTCTGCAGCCGCCAATGAAGTGACAGATTAAACCGCATTGAAGATAATTTGAGGTCCGGATGCTTAATTACCGCGATGTGATAGGTAAATTAAATTGAAGAGTATTTGACGTCCGTCCCCTTTTTCTAGTATAAATTGGGGCAGTAAATATAGTAAAAACACACAAGCATACATACCTAAATTACGCATATAAACTAGTATCTTCTTCAGGAATTTACTGACTTGGCCGTCGGAGTGCTAACTCCGGCCTAAGTCCGGTTCTTTTCTTCCTTTGTAGGTGTGCTGCGATCCCCGGTCCAAATCCAGGCCCATTCCCCCCTTTAAACCAGCCCACCCCGAATCCGGACGGATCAAATGGCGCCGTCTGTGGGAACCCGTTGAGCAAAGCCGTGGCAACGTTTCCCTTTTAAAACAAAACACCTCTACCTGTTTTTCATTAACCAGTATACGTTTATCAATGGCCTCGTTTCCCAGCATAGTAAGGGATCTGGCCAGTCAGATGGAGGCCGAGGTAACCCCAGCCCCGCAGGAGCACCAGCCAGCCGTTGGAGAGGCCTCTACCACTAGAGAGGAGGTGCCACAGGCAGCCGGCATTGCGGGAGGTAGCCCCATGGTCGCCATGACTATGGAGAACCTGCAGGCACTCTTGGCGAGCGCTGTCCAGGAGGGCTCTGTGCGCGTGCTAAGGGAGCCCGAGGCTGCGTCGCCCAAAAGAAGGATGGGGGAGAGAGAAGGGCGAGGTAGCGAGGGGCTCGCCCGCGCAAGTTCCTCGCTAACTGCATTAAGCCCTTTCTCAACCGATATTCTGGACGACGATCTGCCTCACTCATTTCGACCTGTAACTTACGAATACTTGGGAACCACCGATCCTTGTGAGCATCTCTGTCGCTTCAATAACACTTCGGATTTGCACCGATTTACCGAGGCAGTGAAGTGTCGGGTCTTCGCGACTACGTTGGCGGGAGCTGCACAAGCTTGGTTCAGCCAACTGCCGGCGGGCACGATTGGCGGTTTCGACCAGCTAAGCGCATGTTTTATGGATCACTTCGCGAGCTCAAAGAAGCAAAAGAGGAGCACCTTGACTCTGTTCGCGGTCAGGCAGAGGGAAGGAGAGTACTTGCGAAGTTTTATCAAGCGTTTCATCTCGGCGGCCTTAGAGGTACAAATTACCTCAGAGGAGGTTTTGATTAGCGCTCTAGCACAGGGGCTGCGGGCTGGCGATTTCTTCACTTCGCTCTCGAAAAAGCCGCCCGTATCCTTTAATGCTTTGTTGAAAAAGGCCGAGCGATACAGAACGCGGAGGAGGCAGTACATAATAAATTTGGCGAGAGCAAGGGCGGTCTCGAGGCAAAAAGGGAAAAGAAAGAGGACAGAATGCAGAGGCCGACTCAACTGGCGAGAAGGGAGGTGCCGAGCGAGAGAAAAATAGGACCTCGTTTTGACAGCTATGCACCGCTAGTCGCACAACCAGGAGAGATATTGCTGGCCATAGAGAATAACCCAAAGTTAAAGTGGCCTCGCACGTATGCGGAAACCCCGAAGAGAAGCCCATCGCTAGGGAGTTTCTGCCGTTTTCATAATGATTATGGCCACACCACCAACGAATGCCAACACCTTCGTGACGAAATCGAGAGGCTCATCCGCGCAAAGAATCTGCCAGAATTTGTGAAAGAAGGGAACCAACGCCCGCAGCAGTTCCCAGCTCGGCGTGCTAGCGAGCCCCGTAAACCTGAGCCGGGAAGGGAAAAGCTAAATGAGAGGAAGGACCAGGTGGCGCCTGCCAACTTCATCAGCATGATTTTGGGAGGACCTTCAGGAGGAGACTCCAACAGAGCTCGGCGAGCGCACCTGAGACAGTTGCGAGAGACGGAGGAGTTATTTGGAGAAATAGAAGAAGCAGATCGGGCAAGCCGTGCGCACCTCCGACGCTTGTGCGAGATGGAAGCTCAGCTCGAGGAGGTGCAAAGAATATCTTACGTGCCGCCCATTGTTTTCGGTCCCCAGGACGAAGAAGGAATCAGACAGCCACATTCCGACGCCCTGGTGATTACTGCCATGGTAGCGAATTTCGATATCGCGAGAATATTAGTGGACACCGGCAGTTCCGCTGATGTTATCTACTATGACTGCTTCAGAAAGATGAATATGGATTTCGAGTTAAAGTATGTAGAGACGAGCTTGGTCGGGTTCTCGGGGGAATCAGTGCGGTCGGTCGGAGAAGTATGCCTGCCCATTTCCCTAGGAATGGAGCCGGTGCGAGCAACCCGATCCGTAAAGTTTTTGGTACTGGATGCGCCTTCTACCTACAACATCATATTGGGGCGACCGTCCATGAACTCATTTCAGGCAGTAGTCTCGACTTATCATATGAAGCTGAAATTCCCCGTCTTAGATCAAATCGGGGAGGTCCGAGGGGATCAAGAGACCTCGAGGAGGTGTTATTACGACGCCTTGAGAAGAATAGGAAACATAGATGCTATTCGCACTGTTTCCCCAGGTAGCCGGGGAAAGGAGGACCAGATGCCGGAAGTAGACCCCGCAAAAGAAGAAGCCCACGTGAAGCCGATGGAGGAATTAATGGTAGTCCAACTATGCGAGAAGGATGCCTCTCGCACCACCCGCATAGGTGGCGGTTTAGATGCAGACATGTCTCGACAGCTGGTTGAGTTTCTAAGGCAGAATCAAGATGTGTTCGCATTCACTCCAGCAGATCTCGGGAGTATCGACGAGCAGCTCGTGGTGCACAGACTGAATGTCAAGCAGAATGCGAAGCCAGTCAAGCAAAAGCGTCGGCATTTTGGAGCAGAGAAAGACAAAATTATACAGGAAGAAGTGCGGAAGTTGTTAGCAGCCGGACAGATCCGGGAGATCCGTTTTACTACTTGGCTGTCCAATGCAGTTTTAGTCAAGAAGGGCGAGGGAAAGTGGCGAATGTGCATTGACTTTAGGGATCTCAACAAGGCATGTCCCAAGGATTACTATCCCTTACCACGAATCGACCAGCTCGTAGACTCAACTGCCGGTTGCGAGATGCTAAGTATGATGGACGCCTCGCAAGGGTACCATTAGATCCCATTGTGTCCGGGCGACCAGCCCAAGGTGAGCTTCATCACCTCCACTGGAACTTATTGCTACACGGTGATGCCTTTTGGGCTGAAAAATGCGGGGGCCACGTACCAGAGACTAGTAGACAAAATGTTCAAGGACCAACTCGGAAGGAACATGGAGATATACGTGGATGATATGTTGGTGAAGAGTTAAAAGGCGAGCACTCATTTAGGAGATTTAAAAGAAACCTTCTGCACGCTCCGACGCTACGGCATGAAGCTTAACCCCGATAAGTGTGCTTTTGGGGTGAAAACGGGAAAATTCCTGGGTTACATGGTAACGGAAAGGGGAGTGGAAGTGAACCCGGAGAAGGTGCAGGCGGTTTTAGATATGGAGGCCCCACGAAATATTAAGGAGGTTCAAATGCTGGCTGGAAGAATAACAGCTCTGAGTAGATTAGTATCTAAGGCCGGAGAGGCTATTCAACCTTTCTTTAAAATACTAAGAAAGGGGACTCAATTCGAGTGGACGGAGGAATCAGGAAGGGCTTTTGAGCAGCTCACGGATCTTCTGGCTCGTCTCCCGCTGTTAGCAAAGCCCGCGCCAGGAGAAAAGCTTTATGTATATCTGGCAGTCGGCGAGTTCGCAGTTAGCTCGGTCTTAGCCCGAGAAGAGGACAGAGTGCAGAGCCCGGTATATTACGCGAGTAAACTCTTGCGAGGGGCTGAGATGAGATACTCCGAGATAGAAAAGATGGGCCTGGCGCTAGTAACGACAGCGGGAAAGCTAAGACCCTACTTTCTGTCGCACGCAATAGTGGTCCGGACAAACCACCCTATGAAGACAGTGATGGGAAGGATGGAAGTTTCGGGAAGAATGGTTAAGTGGGCAGTAGAGATGGGACAGTTCGATATCAGCTACGAGCCACGGATCGCCATAAAAGGGCAAGCCCTAGCAGATTTCCTGCAGGAAACGACAAGACCAGAAGAGCAAGGTATATGGAAGGTGTTCGTCGATGGTTCGGCGAATGCATCAGGAAGTGGGGTAGGAGTGTTGCTAGCAGAGGCGGGCGAGGAGTTGGAATACGCGATAAAATTACCTTTCAAAGCCTCAAATAATGAAGCAGAGTATGAAGCAGTTGTACAGGGGATGAAGCTGGTATCTTCAGCCGGGGGCAGAAAGTTGAACATATTTTCGGATTCACAGCTGGTAGTACAACAGGTGAAGGGCGAGTTCGAGATAAAGAATGAGCGAATGATGGCTTATTGCGAGACGGTACGGTCGATGATGAGCAAGTTCGAATTCTGCGAGCTGGCTCAAATACCCCGAGAGGAGTGTTAGAGTAGGTGACCAACAAGCCAACTTGTGGTTGTGGTCTTTCCTTTTCATCTTGTAATAAAACAATTGTTTTTCGTTCGTAATAATAAAATATCTAATTTGGCATTCTATATCTGTTATCCCATGCAAGCAGCATAGATATAGTCCTAACGAGTTACTCTATTACTGTGAGTTGATCTAGTAGAATCGTGAGATAACTCAACAATGTAATGTAACTGTTAAACCTTGTTCCTAGTCGATGGGTTACGCCAATAATGAGGATACCGGCCTTTCCCTTTTGAGACTAGCACTTAGTGTATGTGTACTGCGTCTCATCAGTCCTCGGTGTTGTGACACCGGCATACTTGAGTGGGTGCTCATACTGGATGAGTTCACTGAACTCCCTCGCCCTAGAAATCTATAAGTGGTTCTCATTCATCGAGTAATAGGTTTCTAAGATATAGTTGTACACCATTAGTCCTTAAGACCCAGACATCACCGTGACTTCACTAGAGGACCGATTGTATCGTGACCTGTCCCTGAGTCCCACCGCGGACCACACCAAGGGCCAACGTTCGTGCAGTCCGAAATCTAGTGTGAAGTCTGTGCATTGTAGTAGGGGATTCGAGCGCTTGAGTAGTCATGGATGTCCTGTGTGTTCTGACGGTTTATAATCCATGGAACCTCTGGCCAGAGTTGATAGTGGGGTGATTAGGGAAATGTGTTTCCCTAAGTCGCACACGAACGGATTTATAATACCTAGAACGTTCGCACGGTTATTGAACTTTATAAGAGGTCTCGATGAACAATTGCCTCTAGTTCAATCGGGACATGTGCTACGAAGGGATCGTACTGTACGCTAACTATATCATAAGGTTCTTGCAGGCACTTCATTTGTATCTAGGGAATCATGATGCGTAGTTGCTAGACGCCAATCTTGATTCGTTGGGCACCGATTTGATCGGGATTAGGTAAAATGAGTTTTACTCTAATCGGGACTCTTGGGAGGAGTTCGTATAAGAACAATGTGTTGTTCGAATCGCAAAGAGTTGTGAGCCCACGGCTAGCATACACCTGAACCATTGAGGGTCACACTTCTCGTGTAACATGGATCCTTGATAACAATAAGCATATGTTAATATGTTAATCTTTGCAAAGTTGGAGGTCAATATGATTGAGTCCAAGATTCGTGATTGTGGATTACGAGTCGGAATAAACGTAGAGAAAGAGAAATGCGGAATTTAGTAAACTTTCTAAATTGGGAAGTTTCCCGATTTAGCAAGTTCACTAAAGTGGAAGTTTCCAATTTTGGAAATTGGAAATTTCGAAGAGGCACTCGTATCGACGAGGACTTTGAGCTCGTCACAAATATATAATTGTTATAATTTTGTGGACGATCGTTTATTAGAAACGAGGCCGACGAGGGAATGGGCTTAATGCATCAGTGGGTCAAGCCCAATGACTTAAGCCCGCTAGGGTTGAAAACCCTAAGTATAAATAGACCTCAAACAAGAGTTTGAGGTCAGATTTTCAGCTCCAAAAACCCTAGCCGTCCAGCCCTAGCCGTCCACCCTCTTCGGCCGTTGCTGCCCCGCCGCTCCGGCGCCGATCACCGCCGGAATCCGCCGGTTCTTCCTCTCCTTTCTCTATCGTATTCCCTTTGTTATCTAACCCCTTTGTATCTAGTGCTACAGTAGGGGGAGATCCGTTTATTCGAGGTGAAACCTAATTGGAGAGGAGCTGCTGCCCCGACGGAATTGCCGCGCCGCCGTTGCACCGCCGCACGCGCCGCTGCACCGCCCACGCGCCGCCGACGCTGACTGCCACGCGCCGCTGTCGCCTCACCTTCGGACCAGCTGCCGTTTGGTGGTGTTTCCGCAGCCCTAGGAGTGGTATAACGCAGCTTGTACGTGTTTGAGTTTGGATTTCGATTCGTCGAAATCTCACGCTACAAGAGGTAATTAAATCGGAACTATCGTAAATTAATTCGAACATATTTGTGTGAATTGAAATTTATGATTATGAGTAATATGTGATTACATGTTTCGATTTTGTTGAATGATGATTAAGCATGTTTCGTGATTTTCGGTTTTATGTAATTTTCAATTAAAATCGATAATTACCATATGTATGGCGGAAGCGTTAAGGTACGTTGACTACGTGAATAGTTTTGCATGTAATCGAAACTAGTTCGATATAAAATTTTTAAATTCCGCTGCGTATACATGCACGATCCCCAACAAGGAGAACCAGCGTGCTGATTTTCTAGCAAAAGTAGGAAGCATGGCGGTGGGATACGAGTCAAGAAAAATACAGTTGCTAGTGGAGGAGCCATGTAGTGGGGGCGAGGAGCGTGTTTCAACTGTGACAAGTGGGGAGGATTGGCGCACGGAAATCAGGGCGTGTCTACAAGGAAAGATGCTCGCAAGTGGCCGCGCCCAAAATGTCCTGGAACAGCGAGCAACCAACTTCTGCCTAATTGGGGATATACTTCACAAAAGAGGCTACACTAGGCCGCACCTAAGATGCCTATCTCTCGAGGAGGGCCGCTACGTGCTGCACGAGGTTCACCAAGGATGCTGCGGGGACCATGCAGGAGTTAGAGCATTGGTCTCGCGGATACTAAGGGCAGGATATTTTTGGCCCACCTTGAGAAAAGACGCGGCACAGTTTGTCAAGAAATGTGACAAGTGCCAGAGACATGGCCCGCTGATTCACACGCCGGGAGAGGATATGACGATAATAACTTCCCCTTGTCCTTTTGCACAATGGGGAATAGATATCGTGGGCCCCATGCCATTGGCCACGGGGCAGAGAAAGTTCTTAATAGTCGCTGTAGATTACTTCTCCAAGTGGGTGGAGGCAGTGGCAGTGTCCAGGATAACGGATACAGAGGTCATGAAATTCATATGGCAAAATATCTGCTGCCGATATGGGTTGCCTAGGGATCTCATTTCAGATAATGGAACACAGTTTAACTCAGCCAGGATACAGGGATGGTGTGCCGGTCTGGGTATCAGGCAGAGATTTGCAGCTGTGGCCCACCCGCAGGCGAACGGGCAAGTCGAGGTGATCAATCGGGTATTGTTGGAAGGAATAAAGAAACGTCTGGAGGGAGCAAAAGGAAATTGGGTGGAGGAGTTGCACGCGGTACTATGGGGATATCGAACATCACCAAAAGAGGCGACCGGAGAAAGTCCGTTCTCGTTGGTCTACGGGTCGGAAGCTGTCATGCCAGTAGAGGTAGGAATGCCGTCCAGCAGAATTATGAATTTTCGTGAAACAGCTAATAGCATGCGCTTGCGCGAGGAGCTGGACTTGGTAATGGAAAAGCAACAGAGCGCGAGAGAAAGGATGGAGCTCAGCAAAGCTAAGATTAAGGCAGCCTATGACAAGAAAGTAAGGCTGAGAGTCTTTCAAGTGGGGGACTTGGTCTTAAAACAGGCGGACGCACTCAAGACAGTGGGAAAGCTAATGGAGAAATGGGAGGGACCATACAAGGTGGTAGCGGTTCTCGCAGGAGGAGCTTACATGTTGGAGGATATGAAGGGCTCAAGGATATCTCGCGCATGGAACGTGTGCCATCTAAAACGCTACTATATGTAGTGCTAATGTGTTATAATATTTTGTATTAAATGCCATAAGTTTTGACTCTCATCCGTCTGCCGGCGGAATGAGCTATGTTTTTTAAGTAGGAAAAACAGAATATGAAGTGGCCTCTTTTGAAAAATCCGATGTCTAATCTATAAACTCACTCGCACATAAGCGAACAAAAAAAAAAAAAAAAAAAAAAGAGATTATTGGAATATTTCCAAAACGAAGTGTGCGGGCAAGGATTTGCATCGAGCAAATCTCGCCAGAAAGTGAGGGAAAGTTAGAAATTATTGGAATATTTCCAAAACGAAGTGTGCGGGCAAGGATTTGCATCGAGCAAATCTCGCTAGAAAGCAAGAAAGAAAGTTAGAAATTATTGGAATATTTCCAAAACGAAGGGTGCGAGCAGGATTTGCATCGAGCAAATCTCGCTAGAAAGCGAGGATGCAAATCTCGCTAGAAAGCGAGAAAGAAAGAAATTATTGGAATATTTCCAATCCGAAGTGTGCGAGCAGGATTTGCATCGAGCAAATCTCGCTAGAAAGCGAGAAAGAAAGATCATTGGAAATTTTCCTAATGTGAAATTGGCGAGCAAAGATTTGCAGCCATGAGAATCTCGCTAGGAAGCGAGAAAGGGAATTGTTTGAAATATTTCCAATGACAAATTGGCGAGTGAAAATTTGCAACCATGAAAATCTCGCTAGAAGGCGAGAAAGAAATAGAAAATATTTGGAATCTCAATACGAGGTTTGCGAGCAAGCACTTGAAAAAATAAATAAAATAAAAACGAGATGAAGTGCGCGAATGAAAGAAAACATAAAATGTAAAATAAGAACTTAGCAGAATAAACTACTCAAAACGATAGAAATAACAATATCCAAATAAAAATAACATTGTTCAGAAAAGGAAAAAACGAATTGTTCAAGTTGTTGCAAATAAGGAAAAACTAAAAAGCCTCACGAAGGAGGAATATCGGGAAGGGTAGAAGCGGAACAGGTAGGGTCCAAACGAGCCATGTTGAAGGGGGCTTGTGCAGCATACTGGTTCAACTCTGCGAGCATCCCCTCGAGCACGCCGGCCCACCAGGCATAATCTACGGGCTCAGTAGGGTTTCCCTCCCAACCAGGAATCTCGTCGCCCAACAAGTCAAGAATGGTGCTGATCTCCTCAGAGGGATCATCAAGATTATGGCGAGCTGCGTACATACGAATTCCTCGATCCATGAATCCCACGCCTATCGGTGCCGCAGTATGGGCAAAGTGAGCGGACGAAGGGTACTTGCTGCTTAGCCTCTCGCGATACCCCCGTAAGAACTCCTGTCCATCTATCGAGCACAGATGGTCATACAAACTCCTAGCCCGCTCCAAGGCTACGGTTCTCATGCATTCCGCCTCCACCACTTCCTGTTTGCGGCGAGAGATGGAGATCAACTGCTCCTTTTCCGCGTTCAGCCGTGCAACCTTGCTCTCAAGAGAGGACTTCATGGCATTGTATTTTTCATGGCTTAGGCGAGCGACCTCTTCTTTTTCGTTGGTCAGCTCGCGAATCATGTCCTGAAGACGAATCACTTCATTGGTCTTCTCGCTGGCTAACCTTTTCATGAAGGCGAGCTCCTCAGCCTGGCGGGTGGGGTCAGTGGAGCCAAGACCATGGGCAAGGAGTACGTTGATCTAGGAAAATGGATGCATAAAGCTGATGAGAATATATAACAAAAAAAAAAAAAAAAACGAGCTTTTAATGATTCTGTTGCGAGAAGATAAGAACGTGTACCTGAGAGCAATGGAACAGTAGGCGAGAGTACTGCTGCTCAAATGACATGCTCTCGAGAGCCTGGGCATCCTCCATGAGCTTGACGTGGCTAAAATGGTTGGATAGCTCAGCCAAACTTCGATCAGGCGAGCGCGACGATAGATAGCCCCTGTCGTCCGCGCGGCGCCTCTTAGACATGGGGGAGGCCTGACCGCCGCTCGCATCCCGCTTGGTGCGACCTGCCTCCAGTTGCGCGTGCTCCGGGGAGCGAAAGGAGTCGTGCGCTTCCTGGTTGTCCGCATTCTCGCTGCCAATATCAATGATGGGCTCCCAGCGGACAGCAGGCGGCGGGATAGGGCTCTCGCGCCTATCTTCGGGGCGAGGAGTGGAGCCGCCCGCCGTGCTCGCAGCGCCGGTAGTAGGGGACTGCTGATGAGTTGAGGGAGCCTGACTGGTGGATTCGGAATGGGTGCGAGAGGATTGCGCGCGCTGCTTGGCGAGAGCAGCCTTCATGGCATCTCGAATCATTTCGCCTAAAACACGACAAAAATAACACAGGTCATTTAGGAAAAGGTAAGATGATTTCTTAAGAAAAAGAAAACAATTTTATTTCTTTGCAAAGTCGAATAAATCATGGGATAAAATATAGAAATTAGTCCTAGAAAATACCCAGTGGGCGGGGGTCTGTCAAAGACATATCCCACAATCCGGAGCGGGCAAAAAGAGAAGGAGAGGCTACTATCTTCTCTACGTCCCACAATTCGGGGGGAGTGCGGGCTGTTAGGCGGGCAAGTGTCTCTAAGCAATCGGGAGACACCCCGACGGGGCGAGGAGCGGTTTCCACGTAGGACGGATCAAAACCCCATGAAGTGGGCGAGCGAATGAAGAGGAAGCGCTGGGGCCAGTTGTGCACTTTATTGGTCAAACCCTTAAAAAGGCCTACGCCGGGGCGAGCTGTGAGATGGAAGAAGCCGGAAGGGGAGCGATTTACCTTGAAGGCGGAATGGAACAGGTCGCCCGTGGGCTCTATGGAGGCCTCGGCACAAATAATGAAGAAAGCCGACATAAATTTAATGGAATTAGGAAGAAATTGGTTAATGGGCACGCGAAATTTGCGAGCCACATCCAGAAAAAAGGGGTGAACGGGCAGTGACAAGCCCGAGAGCAGTTGGTCGATATGCCAAGTCATGTAGCCTGGGGGAGGGTGAAGGGAATCTTGCGAGGACGAAGGAAGAGCTAAATCAAAGGAAACATCTAGCCCTTGCCTGACGAGGAGGTCGTCAATATCGTCGGGGGTCAAAATCGATTGTAGGGGGTTGGTCAAGATGCAAACGGAGGGTTCCCTCACTTTCGCAACCCTAACAACACCCTTTCCCCCGCGAGAAGGGGAGCTCGCATCGTCCCCCCCTTTAGGTCGCGAGAGGGAAGAGGCTTTGCTCTTACCCTTTTGCGAGCAAGCAGGGGTGGCCGGTGGACCCCGGGTTTTGGATACCACGGCCCTCTTCTTGGGCCTATTTCTCTGTTCCGACGGAGGACCGAGGCGGATTACGGGGGTGCGAATCTCCCCGGAGGAAGAAGAGGAAGAGTCGGAGGACATGGGTGGAGGCAAAGGGAGGAAACACGGAAAAGAAAAAATAAGGAGAACTGAAAGAATCACAAAAAGCGGTGTGGAGAGATGTTTACCTGGATAAAAGGGAGGAGGAGAAAGCAATTTCCGACGCCAGGAGGAAGAGAGGAAAAGGAGGAGGGGCTGAAGAAGGAAGAAGAATGTAAAGAAGAGGGGGAGGGGAACCCCTTTTTATAGTCACGGGGCGGCACTTGAAGAGGCGTGCGGAACTCGAAGAGGCGCGAGGAACGCGAAGAGGCGCGAGAGACTCGAAGAGGCGCGAGGGACTTGAAAAGGCGCCTGCGCTGCATTGATTGTGAGAGGACAGCGCAGGCGGCGTTTCGATTTCCGAGGAAAAAAAAAAAATAATAATAATAAATAAAAATAAAAATTATTATTAACTGAACCAATAAAGCCAGCCATTTAATTACTCGGAATATGTGCGGTTTTTTTTTTCCGCTACAGAATGAAAAGAGACACGTTATTCGAAACGGTGCAAATGATTACATTAGGAAGCGGGCCGCCGGCATGAGCACATGCCTTCTCTCGCTAAGAGTGAACTCGCAGCCACTAGCGCCAGGTCGCAAATAACCGCGAGTGGGGGACTAGTTGATCCAGTCCAGGATTACTTGATCGATCCAATAAAGACCAAAGGCCCAAACAAGATCAAAAGGCACCGTTCAAGCCCATTGAACAGAAAAAGGCCCATCAAGCCGGTACCGGTTGGGCGAGAGGGACCCGGCCGCGGGGCGAGTCGCCAGGCTGTCAGTCTATCGCCAGATGCGCGTCTCTCGCCAGACTGCTCGCCCGAGCGGAGGTGATCATTGCTGCACATGGGGTATTTAATGCATGTCCAATCTACTGACAATGGGCAGAGGAATGTCTCTTCGACCCCTACTTTTTGCCTCTGCAGCCGCCAATGAAGTGACAGATTAAACCGCATTGAAGGTAATTTGAGGTCCGGATGCTTAATTACCGCGATGGGACAGGTAAATTAAATTGAAGAGTATTTGACGTCCGTCCCCTTTTTTTAGTATAAATAGGGGCAGTAAATATAGTAAAAACACACAAGCATACATACCTAAATTACGCATATAAACTAGTATCTTCTTCAGGAATTTACTGACTTGGCCGTCGGAGTGCTAACACCGGCCTAAGTCCGGTTCTTTTCTTCCTTTGTAGGTGTGCTGCGATCCCCGGTCCAAATCCAGGCCCATTCCCCCCTTTAAACCAGCCCACCCCGAATCCGGACAGATCAATGGTGCAAGAGGGGATTGTGCTAGGACACAAGGTGTCATAGAAGGGATTAGAAGTCGATCGAGCAAAAATCGAGACAATTGAGAAACTACCGCCACCAATTTCCGTAAAGGGAATTCGAAGTTTCTTGGGACATACGGGATTCTATAGGCGGTTCATCAAAGATTTCTCCAAGGTGGCCAAACCGTTGTGCAATTTGTTGGAGAAGAATATCAAATTCGATTTCAATGACGAATGCTTCAAAGCCTTCGACGACTTGAAAACAAGGTTAGTAACTACCCCTATTATTGTTGTGCCGGATTGGAATGAACCTTTTGAGCTTATGTGTGATGCCAGCGATTTTGCGGTAGGTGCCGTGTTAGGTCAAAGAAAGAATAAAATTTTTCATTCAATTTACTATGCTAGTAAAACTCTCAACGATGCGCAATTGAATTATACCACCACTGAAAAAGAGTTGCTAGTAGTTGTTTTTGAATTCGAAAAATTTAGATCATATCTTATAGGCACCAAAGTCATTGTCTTCACGGATCACTCGGCTTTAAAATATTTGATAGAAAAGAAAGAGGCAAAACCTA